GAAGAGATTAATTTATAACTAATTAAGTCACATAGGGTAAATATAGATCTTTAGTACACTCATCCAGAGGGGCTATAGTCGACGTTCCGAAGGGACTACACACCCTTGATGTTCATCTTATGTTAGCGAACTAGACACCATTCTTGGGGAAAACCGGGCTTTCGTCCTTCAAAAAACCGTCGATCCATGTGTGAGAGGTTGGTCCTCCATTTTCCGTTCAGGATCTCTTTCTTTGTGAATTCCTGACTCTAGACAAACAAGAACTTTGCCTACCACGCAGCTTTCCACAAATTTTGTACAGAATCATAAATGGCATCACCAAGTTGAACCACCGGCTTGGCCTTAACCTTGGTTTAACCGAGCTATTCCACCAATACTCCTTGGCCCAGAATGAAGATGGCTAGGTATAATTATCTAAAGATAAGACGCCGGCCGAGAAAAACTATAATAAAGAACACCCCAGCACCAAGATAGTAAATGACGATGAATTTTTTTTGATTTCTTTAGAATTTTGAAACCAAAGAAAGCCAAATCCAGGAAGAACCCGGATTAACTAAATAAGGAGTTAGCCGGTATATTTACTTACGGCATCATTTTTGTGTTTTTTTACCCTGTTTATATATTTTGCACCGTGCTAGCCGTTGCTTTTTTCCTTATGTAGACTTGAACCATCTAAAGTCGCAGTACAGTTATTCCAATCTTGACGCACTCCGCGCCGCACTAAGATATCGCGATCGAGGTTGGCCTGAGCTACTCAACTTTGAACCAACATATAGAAACAGAAGCAGAAGGAAGACCAAGGTGATAGATTTCCTTCTGGAACCACTCTCTAAGAACGCACAGATCCAAACACCACTCAAATCAATTTGAATCCCCATTAACTACAGAGAACAAGAAATGGCCAAGAAGAGAGCAGTAAGGCCCCTCATCATCGAAACACAGCCAAACCCGAAGGTAACAACAGCGGCCAACACAAAGAGGCCGTGGTAGCCCTTCAAACCGCTGCAACCTTCATACATCTCGGCACGAAGCGGTACTCGGACTTCCACAACCGGCCACACCTTGTTGACGAGGATGAAACCATGCTTCCCTAAACCACACGCCACCGAGCCCACAGCCTGAGCATTCTGATGGGGCTAGCTCCTTTGAGTGGGCCTCGAAATTATCATACCAAGAACTGAGCCATTAGAGACAGAGATTTCAGTGGTAGCAGACAAAAGACCACACACTCACTTCAACCCTGGCTTAAGAGCGTGTGCTTTGCCCCCTGACATGGAACACCATGACCATGTTCACGCGAGCTTAAAGGCCATCCGCTCGACCACCAAATCGATGGTCGCTGGTGAGTGCTCTTTCCTTTGTTTTCCTTTTTGTGCATCCTGTTTGCTCGTTCTCACTCGAAATTGCTTTACCACCTCTTTTGCCAGGCTAATGCAGAAGAACCACATTGGCACATAAGCGTGTGCTGGAGCTGCGCAAGACGACAAGGCTGGCCGTGGCTGAGGCCACAATAGCAAGACGACCGAGCTAAAACAAAGCTAAACAAAAATGGCCGGAGCTTAATAACAGAAGTCGCCCGACTCCCACCGGGCTAGTAGATTCAGCGGAGGCGAACAAACAAGAGGCCTTGATCGAGCTGAAGGACCGTTATCTCTGCGAGCTAGCTAAGGTCGAGAAGAAGAAGAGCGGCCGAGATAACCGATCTGGAGAAAAGAAGGTGGAAGACGCGGAAGACCGCGGTTACAAAGAAGGTAGAAGCCACCTATATCCTGCCAATGCGAAGCTGCAAGGGATATTTTTAAGAAAATATGGGAGTGGAAAGCAGCGTGGAGCAGCTCGAGTCATGGCGCAGAGGACCGAGGTCTTCCTAAACCCTCCTCCACATTTCATACCGGAGCTACATTGGCCGGAGTAATCCAACGCCATATTCAATCAAAAATTTCTTCAAGTTGAGGAAGAAGAAGAAGCATCAAGAGCCCAACAATGCCCGGTCGTCCGCCAATGATCCCGCTGTTTAGTCAGCTCGGGTGGAGGCCACTGGTAGAAGACTTAGTTGAAAAATGTGACCGAAGCTACCTGCTGAAAACCGGACTTCAAGTTGATCTGGATGCGGAGTCTTGACGACCTTTTTGCTTGATCCCGTCTTTTCTTCTTTTTACTTCTTTGGAAAGAACGTGTAAACCGGGCTGAGGCCCCAATCCCTTTTGTACCTTTGATCTGAATTTTCAATGAAATCTTCTTTTGTTTAACTGTTTGTTCGGTTTACCTTATGTTTGCGCTTTTTTTTTTCTACCATAAATGCATGAGTATAACATTTTCTGGCCGGAGATACCTATCTCGATCCTAACCTTGTAATCTATTTGGTCATACTTGCCACCTCTTTCAGCCTAGGTTTTTTATCTCGGTGAAGAGTACTAGAAGTTGGTTTATTCCAAGCCAAACCCACTCTTCAGCCTAGATCCTTATCTCGGCTGAAGAGTACTAAAAGTTGGTTATTCTAACCACCAATCTTTCAGCCTAGATCCTTATCTCGACTGAAGAGTACTAAAATGTGGTTATTCCCAGCCAACCACTCTTTAGCCTAGATCTTTATCTCGGCTGGAGAGTTACTAAGTGTTGGTTTTTTTCTAGCCAACCACTTCAGCCTTGATCCTTATCTCGGCTGAAGAGAGCTCAAAGTTGGTTATTCCTGCCAACTTAGAGCTAAGTGTTTGGTTATTTCTGCCAAAACTCTTCAGCCTAGATCCATCTTGGCTGAAAGATAGCTCAAAGTTGGTTATTCCTGCCAACCTTAGAGCCAGAGGTTGGTTATTCCCTGTCAACTTTCTTCAGCCTAGATCCTGACTGTGCTGAAGAGAGCTCAAAGTTGGTTATTCCTGCCAACTTAGAGCCAAAGTGTTTGGTTATTCCTGGCCAAAACTTCTTTAGCCTAGATCTTGATCTTAGCTGAAGAGAGCTCAAAGTTGGTTATTCCTGCCAACTTAGAGCCAAAGTGTTTGGTTATTCCTGCCAAACTTCTTCAGCCTAGATTCCTGATCTTGGCTGAAGAGAGCTCAAAGTTGGTTATTCTTGCCAACTTAGTGTAACGTCCTCCAAAATAATAAAATCCACAACCTTTTGACATGCATTGATATAAAAGAAACCAACAATTTCTATTCATCAGAGTAATTTTACAACGGTATTACATGTTAACAAACAAGCAAATTGCCCTACGGGCTTACAGCTTTCCAAGTCAACACTTGTTTACACAAAAGAGTACTAACTCTATACAAATAAGCCCTTGGCTTAATATACATGTAATACAAACAAAATAAACAAAAAAAGTCCTCAACTCTCATCAACATACATCCAAGCATGTCCTTGGGAGGTGCATGCTACCTGTAACCTAAAAATAATGTCCCATATAGGGTGAGCCAACGCTCCAGTAGAGATATGCTAAACACAGTAATGAGCAATAACTAAGACATTACAACTGATAAATGTTCATTTCCACCAATCAATTCATAATCCATTTCCATTTCATGACCCCTGTGTTCGTGTTTCATTTCATTTTCCCATGTCACATCAATTTCACAATTTACATCAACGGTCTCAGAACCTGGCCAACCCACTTTGTATGAGACAGTGACTCATATTAACGTTTTACAATAGATAAACATTACTAGTTGTATCAACATCTCAACAGATAAAGTCATACAAGCCTTTTCGCAGGCTGTAATCCAACCATTTCAACCAGATAAGCATTTAGAGGTATCACACTTCCAGAATAGCATATGAGCTGTATCAACACTCTCCATACGATAAGCATATGAGACCTGTATCACCACATTTTATTGACAAGCCAATAGCTTGTATCAGTGCAGTCATCCCCTATCTCTCCCAAACTAACATTCGGTTTAGAGGTCCACCCTATCTCCCCTAAACCGTAGGATAATCCCTATCTCCTCTCACACACAACGTATATACACATAGGTCATATACACATCAATCAATACATAACGTTAATGTATTCTATCATCCATCATACTCTATGACATATCCAATTGATTAGTTTTAGTTTGCCTAATCATCCATGCATTGTCTACAAACCAATCAAACTACCTCTCTCCACCGGTAGCCCAAGCAATTATTTCTAAACAGATAATAAAAGCTCCAATAGATAAAATATCATTGTTTTCAAAAGTGAGCGATTAACAAATCTAACTCCACTAATTCTAGCCTATAATGAGCCAATTCCATTATTTCCAACACAATTCCATAAGCCCAACAGTTTCCCAAATTAATTCTACCAATTAATTTACACCAACAAATTAGGTTTTTCTACCCATTTCCCAATATTGGCCCAATGGCCTATATATCAACACAACAACGACAATATCATTTTTTTGAGACCCAACAATACCGCCATTTTAGGATCAAAATACAACCCTCTTTTAGCATTTTGAAACCTAGGTCCAAATTTTCCCAACTTCAACACTTTATCAAAACAACCAAAGATCTATGTCAAAGACCATAAAGAGTGAGTAGAAATCCCTACCTCAAAAGATGAACACCAATGAAGACGATGATGAAAATGAAGTTGCTCCAAAACACAAGTTTCTCGGATCAAAAGATAGCCCCTCGACGATCAACAACTTTTTTGTAAAGGCCAAAGGTGAGGAAACAACTCCAACTAGATCAATACCAGAGAGAAGGCAAGGTTCTAAGAGAGAGAGAGGCTCAACAATGGAGTTTTTGGAAAAGTAAGAAGAGAGAGAGAATGAGAAAAGTGATTATTAAAATACCCCAACAGTCAACTGATATACGACATTCCCGCTCGAGCGGAAAACAAACACGCTCGAGGTCGCAAGAACAAAAACTAGGTTCGCTCGGAGCGCAAGAAGGCCCGCTCAGCGCCAAGACACAAAAATAAGGTACATCCGCTCGAGCGAGAAAACCAGTCCGCTCGAGCGCAAATCTCCCCTCCCCAGAACTTTCACCCCAAAGACAGTAGTACCAGCTCGAGCGCCAACAAACCCGCTTCGAGCGCAGGAAACCCCGCTCGAGCATGAAATCACACCTGCAGAAGTTTTACAAAGGATCACGCAATACGGGAGTGTACACCTTCCACTCGAGTGCCAAACGACCCGCTCGAGCGGAACGACCAAAAGCCTGGCGACAAGATTTTAGACAAAAGGTTCTACCCACCTGCTCGAAACATACCCAACACATCCTAAAACTCAAACAAATTGGAATCTAAAGGACGGCAACAAGATAGATACAACTACCAACTCACACGAAAACGAGTCCGGGAATACAACAGAACAGTAAAGGGACAACCGGGATCGCTATAACCTCCCCCTTTAAAGAATTTCGTCCCCGAAATTAAACACCAAGTTTCTCAAAAAAACAGGTTTTCTCCATTCCCAACGATTATTAAACATAATATTAAACATTCCGACCCATTACCGGTCAATCCCAATCTCTATTTCAAGAGCCATTTCACATTACACAAAACACCTGCATAATCAACATGCATTCCTTTGAAAATTTACCAAATTCCAACTCATTTTCAATGCCAAAATATAATTTTTTTGCATTTCTAAACATCATTAACATATTACAATGTTAAAAATCAACTTCAATCATAAGGCAAGTTCTACAAGCATACTTCATAAATCAAACATAATACCATGTTTTACAACTTAAGACATATGTAATGCTCTTAAAGTTACATAATTACAGAATTTCAATACATGATTACACCTCAACAAACAAGTCGGATAAATTTCTCACGAACGTCGCGCCTCAACGTTCCAAGTGGCTTCCTCCACTCCGTGATGCTTCCACAAAACTTTTACCAAAGGGATAGTCTTGCCTCACAAGACTTCATCTCGTCTATCCAAGACCCGAACCGGTCTCTCCTCATACGAGGCATCCCTCATCTACCTCTAAGTCGGCCCAATCTAACAACATGGGATGGATCCGGCTCATAATTCCGAAGCATACTCACATGAAACACGTCATGCACTTCGACAACTGCGGTGGCAAAGCTAAACGATAAGCAACCTCCCCAATCCTCTCAAGGATCTCAAAAGGGACCGATAAAACGAGGGGATAACTTCCCACTCTTCAAACCTTATCAAAACCTCGCCTAGGTGATATTTTCAAGAAAAACATGAATCACTATCTCAAACGCCAAAGGCCTCCTCCTACGGTCGGCATAACTCTTTTAGCGACTCTGGGCTGTAACAAGCCTCTTACGGATAAGCTCAACTTCTCCGTCATCTCCCTAACCAACTCCGGACCCAACAAAGGTGCATCACCCACCTTGGCCCAACAAACTGGAGACCTACACGGTCGGCCATAACAAGGCCTCAAACGGTGCCATAACCGGATGCTAGACTGAAAACTACTGTTGTAGGCAAACTCCACCAAGGGCAAGTGCCTCTCCCACGTCCCACCAAGTCAAGGACACAACCTCGAAGCAATATCTCAAGGATCTGAATAGTACGCGTCGGACTGCCCGTCAGTTTGAGGATGATAAGCCATACTAAAGGTCAACTTAGTGCCCAAGGCACTCTGCAAACTCTGCACAACCTAGTAGTAAAACGAGGATTCTATCTGAGACGATCGTCACTGGGACACTCCGTGCAATCTCACTATGCCCGAATGTACAAGTCGGCAGAGATGATCTACTGGAATCTCTCACGCGCATGGGAAATAAAGTGCGCCGACTTAAGTCAACCACGGTCTACAACCACCAAAATAACATCAAATACCCCGGCTGAGTCCTCGAAGACCTACAAACGAAGTCCATAGTGACATGCTCCATTTCCACTCGGCAATAGGCAAGGGTTGCAAACAAACCGCTGGCTCTCGATGCTCGGGTCCTTCACTTGCTGGCAAGTAGGCACTTTGAATAACAAAACAACCATCCCTCTTCATACCCAACCACCAAAAATGGCACCCAAATGGAGGTAATTAATTGTGAGAAATGAGGAAATGAAATGGAATTGTTGAGATTGGGAATGTATGGGGTTAAAGGGTGTAGTTGAATTGTTTGTCACTCACCGGAATGTAATGTTGATTGAATATCCATTTGTGCATTTATTTTCTGTTTAGAAGTAACTGCTTTGGGCTATCGGTGGAGGATAGTCGTGATTGTTGTAGACAATGCATGATTCTAGCATCGGTATGGCACCGTTTGAGGCCTTGTATGGCCGACCGTGTAGGTCTCCAGTTTGTTGGGCCGAGGTGGGTGATGCACCTTTGTTGGGTCCGGAGTTGGTTAGGGAGACGACGGAGAAGGTTGAGCTTATCCGTAGGAGGCTTGTTACAGCCCAGAGTCGTTAAAAGAGTTATGCCGACCGTAGGAGGAGACCTTTGGTGTTTGAGGTGGGTGATCATGTCTTCTTGAAAATATCACCTAGGCGAGGTTTGATGAGGTTTGGGAAGAGTGGGAAGTTATCCCCTCGGTTTATCGGTCCCTTTGAGATCCTTGAGAGGATTGGGGAGGTTGCTTATCGTTTAGCTTTGCCACCGCAGTTGTCCGAAGTGCATGACGTGTTTCATGTGAGTATGCTTCGGAAGTATGAGCCGGATCCATCCCATGTGTTAGATTGGACCGACTTAGAGGTAGATGAGGATGCCTCGTATGAGGAGAGACCGGTTCGGGTCTTGGATAGACGAGATGAAGTCTTGTGAGGCAAGACTATCCCTTTGGTAAAAGTTTTGTGGAAGCATCACGGAGTGGAGGAAGCCACTTGGGAACGTGAGGCGGACGTTCGTGAGAATTATCCGGACTTGTTTGTTGAGGTGTAATCATGTATTGAAATTCTGTAATATTGTGGAACTTTAAGAGCATTACATATGTCTTAAGTTGTAAAACATGGTATATGTTTTGATTTATGGAAGTATGCTGTAGAACTTGCCTTATGATGGAAGTTGATTTTAACATTGTATATGTTAATGATGTTTAGAAATGCAAAAAATATATTTTGGCATTGAAAATGAGTTGGAATTGGTAAATTTCAAAGGAATGCATGTTGATTATGCAGGTTGTTATGTGTAATGTGAAATGCCTCTTGAATAGAGATGGGATTGACCGGTAATGGGTCGGAATGTTTAATATTATGTTGTAATATCGTTGGGAATGGAGAAAACCTGTTTTTGAGAAACTTGTGTTTAATTTCGGGGACGAAATTCTTTAAGGGGGGAGGTTATAGCGATCCCGGTTGTCCCTTTACTGTTCTGTTGTATTCCGGACTCGGTTTCGTGAAGTTGGTAGTTGTATCTATCTTGTTGCCGTCCTTTAATTCCATTTGTTTGAGTTTTAGGATGTGTTGGGTATGTTTCGAGCAGGTGGGTAGAACCTTGGTCTAAAATCTTGTCGCCAGGCTTTTGGTCGTTCCGCTCGAGCGGGTCGTTTGGCACTCGAGTGGAGAGTGTACACTCCCAGTATTTCGTGTCCTTGTAAAACTTCTGCAGGTGTGATTTCTATGCTCGAGCGGGTTTCCTGCGCTCGAGCGGGTTTGTTGGCGCTCGAGCTGGTACTACTGTCTTGGTGAAAGTTCTGGGAGAGGGAGATTTGCGCTCGAGCGGACTGGTTTTCTCGCTCGAGCGGATGTACCTTATTTTTGTGTCTTGGCGCTTGAGCGGGCCTTCTTGCGCTCGAGCGAACCTAGTTTTTGTTCTTGACGCTCGAGCGTTGTGTTTTCCGCTCGAGCGGGAATGTCGTATATCAGTTGACTGTGGGGTATTTTTAAATCACTTTTCTCATCTCTTCTCTCTCTTACTTTTCCAAAAACTCCATTGTTGAGCCTCTCTCTCTCTTTAGAACCTTGCCTTCTCTCTAGGTATTGATCTAGTTGGAGTTGTTTCCTCACCTTTGGCCTTTACAAAAAAGTTGTTGATCGTCGAGGGCTATCTTTTGATCCGAGAAACTTGTGATTTGGAGCAACTTCATTTTTCATCATCGTCTTCATTGGGTGTCATCTTTTGAGGTAGGGATTTCTACTCACTCTTATGGTCTTTGACATAGATCTTTGGTTGTTTTGATAAAGTGTTGAAGTTGGGAAAATTTGGGACCTAGGGTTTCAAATGCTAAAAGAGGGTTTGTTATTTTGATCCTAAAATGGGTATTGTTGGGTCTCAAAATAATGATATTGTCGTTGTTTGTTGATATATAGGCCATTGGGCCAATATTGGGAAATGGGGTAGAAAACCCTAATTTGTGGTGTAAATTAATTGGTAGAATTAATTTGGGAAACTGTGGGCTTATGGAATTGTGTTGGAAATAATGGAATTGGCTCATTATATGGTAGAATAGTGGAGTTAGATTTGTTAATCGCTCACTTTTGAAAACAATGATATTTTATCTATTGGAGCTTTTATTATCTGTTTAGAAATAATTGCTTGGGCTACCGGTGGAGGGTAGTTTTGATTGTTGTAGACAATGCATGATGATTAGGCAAACTAAAACTAATCAATTGGATATGCCATAGAGTATGACGGTTGATAGAATACATTAACGTTATGTATTGATTGATTGTGTATATGACCTTTGTGTATATACATTGTGTGTGTGGGAGGAGATAGGGGATGTACTCCACGGTTTAGGGGAAGATAGGGGATGGACCTCTAAACCGGATGTTGTTTGGGAGGAGATAGGGGATGGACTCCACTGATACAGCTCATATGCTTGTCAGATAATGTGTTGATACAGCTCATATGCTTGTCATTGGAAGTGTTGATATGAAGCAGTGTTTTACATGGACACTGCTTGTTTGTGTCTGTGCTACTAAGACTGTAGTGTTGATACAGCTCATATGCTTATCTTTGGAAGTGTTGATATAGCTAATATGCTTATCTGTTGAAATGTGGATACAGCTTGTATGCTTATCTGTTGAGATGTTGATACAACTAGTATGTTTATCTATTGTAAAACGTTTAATATGAGTCACTGTCTCATACAAGTGGTTGGCCAGGTTCTGAGCCGTTGATGTAAATTGTGAAATTGATGTGACATGGAAAATGAAATGAAACACGAACACAGGGGTCATGAAATGGAAATGGATTATGAATTGATTGGTGGAAATTGAACATTTATCAGTTGCTAATGTCTTAGTTATTGCTCATACTGTGTTTAGCATATCTCTACTGAGCGTTGGCTCACCCTATATGGGACATTATTTTTAGGTACAGGTAGCATGCCACCTCCAAGGACATAGCTTGGATGATGTTGATGAGAGTTGAGGACTCTTTTTTGATTATTTTGTTTGTATTACATGTATATTAAGCCAAGGGCTTATTTTGTATAGAGTTAGTACTCTTCTTTTGTGTAACCAAGTGTTGACTTGGAAAGCTGTAAGCCCGTAGGGCATTTGCTTTTGTTGTTAACATGTAATACCGTTGTAAAATTTACTCTGATGAATAGAAATTGTTGGTTTCTTTTATATCAATGCATGTCAAAAGTTGTGGATTTTATGTATTATTTTGAGGACGTTACACTAAGTTGGCAAGAATAACCAACTTTGAGCTCTCTTCAGCCAAGATCAGGATCTAGGCTGAAGAAGTTTGGCAGGAATAACCAAACACTTTGGCTCTAAGTTGGCAGGAATAACCAACTTTGAGCTCTCTTCAGCTAAGATCAAGATCTAGGCTAAAGAAGTTTGGCAGGAATAACCAAACACTTTGGCTCTAAGTTGGCAGGAATAACCAACTTTGAGCTCTCTTCAGCCAAGATCAGGATCTAGGCTGAAGAAAGTTGACAGGAATAACCAACACTCTGGCTCTAAGTTGGCAGGAATAACCAACTTTGAGCTATCTTCAGCCAAGATTAGGATCTAGGCTGAAGAAGTTTGGCAGGAATAACCAAACACTTAGCTCTAAGTTGGCAGGAATAACCAACTTTGAGCTCTCTTCAGCCGAGATAAGGATCAAGGCTGAAGTGGTTGGCTAGAAAAACCAACACTTAGTACTCTCCAGCCGAGATAAAGATCTAGGCTAAAGAGTGGTTGGCTGGAATAACCACATTTTAGTACTCTTCAGTCGAGATAAGGATCTAGGCTGAAGAGTGGTTGGTTAGAATAACCAACTTTTAGTACTCTTCAGCCGAGATAAGGATCTAGGCTGAAGAGTGGTTGGCTGGAATAAACCAACTTCTAGTACTCTTCAGCCGAGATAAAAACCTAGGCTGAAGAGGTTGGCAAGTATGACCAAATAGATTACAAGGTTAGGATCGAGATAGGTATCTCGGCCAGAAAATGTTATACTTCATGCATTTATGGTAGAAAAAAAAAAGCGCAAACATAAGGTAAACCGAACAAACAGTTAAACAAAAGAAGATTTCATTGAAAATTCAGATCAAAGGTACAAAAGATGGGGCCTCAGCCCGGTTACACGTTCTTTCCAAAGAAGTAAAAAGAAGAAAAGACGGGATCAAGCAAAAAGGTCGTCAAGATCCGCATCCAGATCAACTTGAAGTCCGGTTTCAGCAGGTAGCTCGGTCACATTTTCAACTAAGTCTTCTACCAGTGGCTCCACCCGAGCTGACTAAACAGCGGGATCATTGGCGACGACCGGGCATTGTTGGGCTCTGATGCTTCTTCTTCTTCCTCAACTTGAAGAAATTTTTGTTGAATGGCGTTGGCATACTCCGCCATGTAGCTCGGTATGAAATGTGGAGGAGGGTTTAGGAAGACCTCGGTCTCTGCGCCATGATCGAGCTGCTCCACGACTGCTTTCCATCCATATTTCAAAAATATATCCTTAGCAGCTTCGCACTGCAGGATATAGGTGGCTTCACCTTCTTTGTAACCGCGGTCTTCCGCGTCTTCCACCTTCTTCTCCAGATCGGTTATCTCGGCGCTCTTCTTCTTCTCGACCTTAGCTAGCTCGCAGAGATAACGGTCCTTCAGCTCGATCAAGGCCTCTTGTTTGTTCGCCTCCGCTGAATCTACTAGCCCGGTGAGTCGGGCGACTTCTGATTGAAGCTCGGCCATTTTTTGTTTAGCTTTGTTTAGCTCGGTCGTCTTGCTATTGGCCTCAGCCACGGCCAGCCTTGTCGTCTTGCGCAGCTCCAGCACACGCTTATGTGCAATGTGGTTCTTCTGCATAGCCTGCAAGAGGGTGGTAAGCAATTTCGAGTGAGAACCGAGCAAACAGATGCACAAAATAGGAAAACAAAGGAAAGAGCACTCACCAGCACCATCGATTTGGTGGTCGAGCGGATGGCTTTAAGCTCGGTGAAATGGTCATGGTGTTCCATGTCAGGGGGCAAGCACACGCTCTTAGCCAGGTTGAAGGTGAGTGTGTGGTCTTTGTCTGCTACCACTGAATCTCTGTCTCTAATGGCTCAGTTCTGGTATGATAATTTCGAGGCCCACTCAAAGGAGCTAGCCCCATCAGAATGCTCAGGCTGTGGGCTCGGTGGCGTGGTTTAGGGAAGCATGGTTTCATCCTCGTCAACAAGGTGTGGCTCGGTTGTGGAAGTCCGAGTACGCTTGCTTGGCCGAGATGATGAAGGTTGAGCGGTTGGAAGGGCTACCACGGCCTCTTGTGTTTGGCCGGCTTGTGGTACCTCGGTTTGGCTTGTTTCGATGATGAGGGGCCTTACTGCTCTCTTCTTGGCCATTTCTTGTTCTGTAGTTAATGGGATCAAATTGATTTGAGGTAGTGTTGGATCTGGTTCTAGAGAGGGTTCCAGAAGGAAATCTATCACCTTGGTCTTCCTTCTGCTTCTGTTTCTATATGTTGGTTCAAAGTTGAGTAGCTCAGGCCAACCTCGATCGCGATATCTTAGTGCGGCGCGGAGTGCGTCAAGATTGGGATAACTGTACTGCGACTTTAGATGGTTCAAGTCTACATAAGGAAAAAAGCAACGGCTAGCACGGTGCAAAATATATAAACAGGGTAAAAAACACACAAAAATGAGCCGAAGTAAATATACCGGCTACTCCTTTATTTTAGTTAATCCGGTCTCCTGGTATTTGGGCTTCTTGGTTTTCAAAATTCTCAGAAATCCAAAAAAAATCATCGTCATTTACATCTATGTCTGGGGTGTTCTTTATTATTTTTTCTCGGCGGCGTCTTATTCTTAGATAATATACCTAGCCATCTTCATTCTGGCCAAGGGAGTATTGGTGGAATAGCTCGGCTAAACCGAGGTTAAGGCCAAGCCGGTGGTTCAACTTGGTGATGCCATTTATGATTCTGTACAAATTTGTGGAAAGCTGGGTAGGGCAAAGTCTTGTTTGTCTAAGGAATTCACAAAGAAGAGACTGAACGGGAAAATGGAGACCAACCTCTACAATGGATCTGACGTTGAAAGGGACGAAGCCCGGTTTTCCCCAGGGAATGGTGTCTAGTTCGGCTAAACTAAGATGAACATCATTAGGGATGTTGTAGTCCCTTCGGAACTCGACTATAGCCCCTGGAGAGTTTACTAAAGATCTATATTTACCCATGTGGACTTAAATTAGGTATAAATTAGCTCGGTGTTGAGTATCTTAGTTGAAGCATTCAAAGGAGTGCCTGGGCAACCTAAGTCAGTCTGCAAAGTGAAAAGGAAAAATGTTAAGCACAGATCGTTGGACCGTGCTAAGTACAAAGGCAAAATAAGTATAAGCCTAGCTCGGCTATGAGGAATACTATATGTTCTTAGTTCGGTTGGTGCAAAGGACTTTAGCTCGGCTAAATGAAACTAAAGGTTTGGCATGAAGTTTTAGTTCGGTCATTTGAAGAGTTATCTAGTTTGGCATGAAGTTTTAGTACGGTCATTTGAAGAGTTATCTAGTTTGGCATGAGGTTTTGGTTCGGTTGTTGGGGAAGTTATCTAGTTTGGATGGGTGCACACCTAGAAGGTGTCACGACCCAAACCCGGCCCTATGGGTTTAGCACCGTAATTGGCCAGTAATCCGAGATTACCGAAGGCCTGCAGAACAGTAGTACAGTAAAACAGAGTACAGGGCCTGGCGGAAGCCAAAACAGTAAATAAACAATGCCCAATGAGCTGTGACAGTCTGTATGCAAAAAGACTTTTCATACATTCATACATAACGGTACAGAACAGTAAGCACAATATTTACAATCATTCAGACTAGGGACTTAATCCCTGCATAACAGTACGATAAACAGTCAGTCTATACAAAACAGTGAAACAGTACAGAAGGGGGAAAATCTAAAACACCCCTAAGCCGTAACAGTTAGGCTCGGAACCTCGCAGTGAGGCACAAAGGCTGGCTTGACAAAACTGGAGTAACCCTGACGCTCCTAGCTGCGGTCTGGTGCCTGAACACCTACATATATATATATAAGCAGTGAGCTAAAGCCCAGTGAATAACATAAAGCGTAAAGGGGTTAAGAATGAATGTCCTTACAGTATGAAAACAGTTCATTTCAATCAGTCATTCGGTTGTTCAGTACAGTAAACAGTCATATGTGGTACATCCATTAGCATAACAGTAACAGTAGGTCTTAAAAGACCGAACAGTAATGATGGCCATCAGTCAGTAAACAGTAGTGGTTCCACGAGGGAACCGACAGAGATCTCTGTAACAGTAACAGTAACAGTAAACAGTAGGTACTAAGGATGCCACAGCACAGTTCAGAAATAAAGGACATACATTCACTCAGTAATACCAGTTCAGTAAACAGTTCAGTTCAGTATTCAAAAGATAATCAGTTGAACATATCTTTACACAATTGTTACTCACAGAGTTCTGGGCTACTCCAGATATTCTGTAGCAAACCCCTTTGTGCTTCTTGCCACATTCAGAACAGGGTGGTATGAAACCACTCCCTTGGCTGGGGCTAGTTGTCGACCCCGTATTCTGTTTCTTGTTGGCTGGGTTGTGCTTGCCTTTCTTAAATTTGAAACCCTGCCTTTTTCCATGCCATTCAGTTGTTGGTGTTTCAGATTGTTTCACCGCT